TAATTTATTTTTATTATGTGCATGTATGTTGCCTGCATGTATGTAAGAGCACCCATATATGAAATGCTGTGGAGACCAGAAGAGGGCTTTGGATTCCCCTGGAACTGGAGTTAAGGATAGTTCATAGCTGCCACGTGGGTGTTGGGAACTGAACCCAGGTCCTCTGCAAGAACAGTCAGTGCTCTTAACTGCTGAGCCATCTCTCCAGCCCCTCTCAAAAAAAAAGAAAAGAAATTTTCAAAATCCTTCTAATACACCTTATGTCCTCAAGCTTCCCAATTTATTCCTATCTTTTCCTATTTGCCTAAAATGCCCTTTTTTCTCATCCTTTAAGTCTCAGCTCAAATGTTCCTCTGGTCTTTTCCGGGCAAAATTTCCACAACACTCTATCTACATTGTTGAATTTGTCACACTGGTTGTGTGTGCAGTGTGCATACTTATGTGTATGTGTGTACACATGTGTATGCATGCCTGTGGATGGAGGCCCAAAGTTAATGTTGGGTATTTATTACTCTCCACTCTAGTGAGGTAAGATCGCTCACTGAACCCCGACTTCACCAATTCTGGCTAACTAGCCAACGTGCCTGGAGGGCCCCCCTGACCTTTGGAGTGCTGGGACTACAGGCAGCCACCATGCCTACTTGGCATTTATGTGGGTTCTAGGGTTCTGAACTCCAGCCCTCATGCTTGCTGTTTGTTCTCTGAGTCATCTCTTCAGCCCTGTCACATTTTTTTAAAATGTTTAGGTGTCTGCTCTGCTAGACAGTGAGTTCCAACATAAAGGAATCATGCTTGCATTCCAAGCACATATAGTAATTGGATTATTACAAAACCAGCCCTACAAAAATGCTTGCCAAATGAACCAGAATTAGAATATATTAAGTTTAATAATTAAGAGACTAGGTTAGACCTGAAAAGAGTCCTTGAATCTATTTTCCTAAAGAAGATAATCGGTTTCTATAGTCTTATATGGGAGTGTGGGGAGAACAGTAAGCTTTCGTTCAAAAAGAGATTGGAGTCAGGCATGGTGGTGCATGCCTTTAGTCCCAGCACTCAGAAGGCAGAGCAGGAGGATCTCTTGTGAGTTCAAGGCCAGCTGGGGCTACAGAGAGAGACCCTGCCTCAAAAAAAAAAAAAACAAAGAAGAAGATTGGGCTGGGAATGTAGCTCGGTGGTAGAGTGTTCACTTAGCAAAGCCCTGGGTTTAACTGTCAGCTTGTAAAACAAAAGAGATTATGAAACCTAAGAAAATAATAAAATAAAAAGATTATTCCAGGCTGGGAAGATGGCTCAGCAGGTAAAGGCACTTGCCACCTAGGCTGACAATCCGAGTTCTAGCCCTGGGATCCATATGGTGGAATCAGAGAAGCAACTCCCCAAATTAGTCCTTACCTCTCCATGGGAACTGTGGCACAAGCATGCCTGCATATATACACACAAGACACATACAAATAAATACAACTTTTTTTTTTGTCTTTTTGAGGTAGGGTCTTCTCTGCAGGCCCAGGTGTCCTGGAACTCACTATGTAGACCAGGCTGGCCTTGAACTCAGAGATCTGCATACCTCTGCCTCCCTAGTGCTGGGACTAAAGGCGTGCGCCACCATGCTCAGCAAATACAACTTTTTTAATTAAAAAAAAAATTTTTTTTTTTAAATCAAGATGAGGCCAGCATGGTGGTGCGTGCCTTTAGTGCCAGCACTCAGGAGGCAGAGGCAGGCAGACCTCTGAGAGTTCAAGGCCAGCCTGGTCTACATAGTTGAGTTCCAGGACATGTGGGGCTATAGGGAGACCCTGTCTCAAAAAAGAACAACAACAACAAAAAGATGATTCCATTCCCAAAGTTTGGTGAACTCTGGTGAAGCTCCAGGCTGAAGAAAGGCCTCGTTGAACATACTTCAGTTCAATACCAGTGACACTAGCCTAATCCTGAGATTATCTCAATCCTGACTCTCAGTACAAACTGACTCTAAAGCAAGGGCAGTCTAGGTTAGTTCAGAATTTTCAGGAATATCCTAGGAGAGGCCAACAACCACAGAGCTAGTCTAGAACCCAAGTACTTTTGGAAACAAGGAATGATACTATCTGCTGCCCTGATTAAAATGTTGTACAACCAGTTCAGATAGCCTCCTGGAAGCTATTAGGTACACACATATCACTAATCTAGACCCATGAGAACCCTAACATACTAAAACAACAGCGAAGAGTACACTCGCTGTCCACATTCAGTGTGACTCCTACTTTCCCTTCAGTTATCATTTTATTTTCATAAGATAGTACATTTCTCTGTAAGCAAATAACACAGAAGAATTAAGGGGAAAAGATTTTCCAAACAACCATTAATGAGAAATATGATACTGCCTCCCTCAAGCAAGGATGATGTTTCATAGAATCTAATCTCAGAAGGGAGGAGAAGCCGTAAGGAGGAAAAAAGTACACGAAAAACTTGTATTTAGCCAGAAGGACAAAGACGTATTTATCCAAGTATTCAAAAACTACAAGGGACAAGGAGGCAGAAAAAGAACAAGAACGCGCTACAGGAAGAACAAGGGAGAGGAACGTTTTGTCTAGGCTAGGAGCTCCGAAGAACCCCAACATGGGACCTCTCCAAGATGGCTCCTAGATTCAGACCCATACAAATTTGGAATAATAATGTAACTTAATTCTATAGTGCCACTAATTGAAATCATGAACATGTGGGCAAGGTTCTGTGGGATTTTCTGATTTTCACATTCACATCCTCTGAAACTCAGTATCATTCATTTATCTGAGTCATGGGATTTCATAATTCTAGAGTTTTCAGGATAAAATGTTTCTCTTCCATGCCCACCTAACCTTGAAAATTGGGGGGGGGGGGGATGTTGAAAGTTTCATATCACCCAGACGAGCCTCAAACTTTCTACATAGCAGAGGATGACACTGAAACTCCGGATTCTCTTGCCTCCACCACCTCCTGGAATTTTGATGTTTGTTTGTGAGACAGGGTCTCACTGTGTAGTCCTGGCTGGCATGGAACTCTCTATATAGGCCAGGCTGGCCAGAACTCACAGAGATTCACATGCCTCTGCTTGGCTTAAAGGCATGTGCTTACCACACCCAGCCTTTTTTAGACAGGGTCTCATTAGGTACCCTGGCCTGACCTTAAACTCCCAATCCTTCTGTTACAGCCCCCAAATACACATACACACACTCACACACGGAAGTTCACGGTTGAAGGATGAAAGTAATTCCTGCAGGCTTGTCTTAATGACTTAGTTTTTTTTTTCTCCTTTGAGTGGCAAAACTGCAATTAATGGTAACACTGACTCTACCACTTACTGCTAGCTATGTGATCTTGAGCTAATAATTACTTAAAAGCCTGGAGCCTCAGATTTCAAAACTGTAAAATGGGGATATTAAATGGAGATGATTAATACCTATCTTGTAAGAGTAAGATGAAGCACAGGGGCCCCCTAGACTAGAATAAAAGCTCCTGAAGAGAGAGCAATGTTTTCATCACTGCTGATTCTCACTGGCACAGAAAGCCGCTGGAGCTCAATTTTTTAACTGAATGAACTATGTATCCCTATTTCTCTCATCAACATTAACTCTTCTCCCATAATTGTATTTTCCCTTTTTCTTCTATCATTTTCTAAAGGCTTCAAGACATTCTCTTTTGTCCCTCTGAGTGGTTTGCTTCCACTCACCGGCTATTACTAACGATACACCCGTTCAAAGAAAGCACCTGCGTTAGTAATTTCTCTAATACCGCCCACCTTCCATCTCTAACGTGATGCGGGTGCAAGAGGCCGTCAGCGCCTAAGATTCACAGCAATTCATCGACCCGCCAAGGGCCACCTACTCGTGTCCAGGGCAGTGAAGTCCTGGACCCAGCCCTTCCCAGAACATAACTTTGCGGGCAACCTCACTGTCCCTTCTACCTCCCGCTCACAGAAGGAAAGCTGCATCGGCAATCTCAGCTTCCCAAAGTTAAGGCGTCCGTTACGCCCGCGCCCGCTGCGAAGAACGGAGACAGCCTGGCGGGACCGCAGCGGCGCAGCCCAAGGGTCACCTTTGGACCTGGGGCTCGCACGACCACTGCCCGGGAAGGCAGCCCGCTTCCACCCCAGGGGGCTGCGCGGGGACACCCGCGACCGCAGGGCGAGTCGCCGCACCCGGACCCCACCTCGACTCACTCCCCTCCCGGGGCGCCCGGCTCGCCCCCCGCCCGTAAATCTACCGGCCAGCGCCGCTCACTGGCTGCGCCCGCACCGCGCTCCCGGCCATTGGCTACCGGACGCAAAGCCCTCCTCCACTCGGAAAGCTCGCGTACGTCGCTCGGCAGCCGAGCACCCCAGCGCCGGCTCGGCGAAGCCCACAGCCCAGGAGCCGGGCTTCCCGCCACTCACCGTGTAGTAGGAGAGCAGCCCCGCGTTGTAGTCCAGCACGAACCACCGGTACTGCCAGCCCTTCATCACGTTAGTCCATTTGCTCAGCGGCCCTTCCACGATGGACGCCATCTTGGGAACCGCCAATGACAACAAACGGCCTGACGTCAGCCGCCTATATGGCTTTTGGCATGTAGGGGCGTGGCCTCTGGGGAGGGGCGGGGCCAAGGCGACTCCCTGCAGCCCTGGACCCACGCCCAAAGCCTGGCAACCCGAGTGAAGAAGCGTGCTTTCTCTTTCTCTCCACGCCTATGGTGCGTAGGGCGGGGTGCTATGGAGGGGAGAAGATGAGGATTAGCTATCCAAGAGTGTAGTAGTACATGCCTGTAATAGCAGCACTTGGAAGACGAGAAGATTAGTCTCAAAAAAAAAAAAAGAAGAGGGCGTGGTGGCAGCCTCTGAAAGCAGAGGCTGCTGGATGTCTCTTGAGTTGAAGGCCAGCCTGGTCTACATAGTGGGTTCCAGGCCAGCTAGGGCTGCAAAGGAGACCCTATCTCAGACAAAACAAACAAAAACAAAACAAAAAACCCAGTGATTACTGGAAATTGAACCTAGGGCCTCATGCATGCTAGACAAGTACTCTACCGCAGCCTACACGTAAGAAATTTTGTAGGTCATGATACCCTACCCTTAAAAAGACGTTCATTTATGTATTCACTCCTCAAACCATTTAATAAAACCAGTTAATAAAAATGGGCTGGGAATACAACTCGGTAGCAGAGTACTCACTTAGCATGCGTGAGGCCCTAAATTCAATTCTCAGCACCAGAAAAAGAAAACACCGCACTTAATATAACATTTGCTGTTTTGACCTAGGCACTCCTTTAGGCTTTGAGAATATTTATGGAGGGTTTAGGAACGCAGGAATGGAAAATAAAATAGATGATATAGCATTATTAAAACTTAAGTTCTGTGGGGGAAAAGTTAAGAACAGTTGGAGCTGCTATTTTAAATATCTGACTGAGAAAGCAACTAACTTGTTTAATGGTTTTACACAGGTATGTAGGGTTTTGTTTTGTTTGTCTTTTTGAGACAGGGTCTCCCTGTAGCCCTAGTTGGCCTGCAACTCGCTATGTAGACCCCGCTGGCCTTGAACTCACAGAGATTCACCTGTCTCTGCCTCTCAAGGGCTGGAATTAAAGGCATGTACCTCCAAATCTAGCACATGTATATATGGTATATTGAGCATATTGCCTCTCATCTCCCCTAACTCCCCTTTTTCTCACCCATCCCCTTCCCGTTAGTACCCCTAAAGAGTTGTACTTCTGTTTTCATACCATATATGTATGAATACACATAATTTTATGTATTTGCATAAAATCTGGGATTCACAAGCCTAGGAACATAATTTATTTATGGACCACATACCATATCTATGCACTCTTCAAGGTTCTGGGAAAACAAGGGAATGAGTGCCCTTAAATAATAAGACAATAAGAGGTAATAATTAATAATACTAATTAATAAGAGATTAACTTCTGTGACAAAAGGGAACACTGAGCAAGTAAACAAGAAAATTATCCAATACCAAGGCTTTGGTGGCTCAGCTGATAGTGTTTGTTGCACAAGCATAAAGGGCTGAGTTCAGATCCCAAGGACCTACATAAAGAGGCCAGGGTGGGCTGGAGAGATGGCTCAGTGGTTAAGAGCACTGGTTGCTCTTGCAGAAAACTGGGGTTTAAATCCCAGTACACACATGGCAGCTAACAACTGTTCCTAACTTCACTTCCAGGGGATCCGACGACCTCTTCTGACTGCCTTGGGCATTGCGTGACACGGGTGCACTTACTGACAATACACTCATACACATAAAATAAAAATAATAAATAGGGCTGGAGAGATGGCTCAGCAGTTAAGAACACTGGCTGTTCTTGCAGAGGACCTGTGTTCAAATCCCAGCATCCACATGGCAGCTGACAACGGTCTGTAACTCCAGTTCCAGGGGATCCAACGGCCTTTTCTGTCCTCTGAGGACATTGCACGACACTGGTGAACTTACCTACATGCAGGCATTCATACACATAAAATAAAAAATAATGAAATATTTTTTAAAAATATCTATTTTTAAGCTGGGCATGGTAGTGCCCGCCTTTAATCCCAGCACTGGGGAGGCAGAGGCAGGCGGATCTCTATGAGT